TCCAGCCTCAGATACTTGACACTTACTAGTTGTGTGACCCTGGGTAAGTTACTTAACCACAATTGCCTCACCAAAAAAAAAAAGTTATCTATACAAAGAGTTTTTGTAGTTGGCATTATATATAATCACAAACAAACCAGAAACAACCTAAATGCTCAATAAGGAGATTTGGTTAAATAAATTTTGGTACTTTGATGTAATGGGATACTCAAATGCAATTAGCCACGGCAAATATAAGCTATATGAAGAAATCAGAAAAGACCTTTATAAACTAATGCAAAGTGAAAAAAAAATCAGAACCAGAAGAATGGAATGCATGGTAATTATGAATATATAAGAAGAAAAGTAAATGAGAATCAATAGACAGGCAAAGTATTCTAATGAGATCTTACAGAGAATGAAAAAATGTTTTGTGCTGAAATTAATTGTGAGGGGGGGTTAGGGGGGCCCTGATCAAATTGAGGAGTCCCCCAATCACCCTGATGAGATTACAAGGGTTTGGGCAACGGATGGGATACAGGGAACTCGCAGTGAGTGGCTGACTCCAGCAGTGTAAAAATAAACTGACTACATTCAAGATCTCAAGGTCTCTACCTCTTCACCTTTTTCCTTGTACCTATTTTTCAAAGTGCAGCAAGCAGGGAGGGGCTTTCTCTCCAATACCCCTGCCAGGAGCAGTAATAGCCACTAGGAAAGTAAATGTTTCAGGGTATGGCTTGTACTTGGCCTGAAGAGGGCGCCAAGAACACTCCTCTTGAAACCCAACCTGCTCTGTGAAGGAGAGGGAATTTTGAATTTCCTAGGCAGCACGATTGTTTTCTAAGCTTTCTAGAAAATGATTTCCTGGGCAGCCCCTACCATTCCACCCTATGAGAGCTGTCGTGTGGATAAGCCCAAGGTGAAGAGTTCCACAGTCTGAGCCCTGAGTCTTCTAAAGAAAGATTTCCTGATTCTCCCTGCTCCTTTGAGAAGGAAAATGACTGCCTGCATTAGCCCTGCCCAGAATCCTATTTGGAAACCAAAGCCTGGGAGTCAGTCAGACTGTGCAGATCCAATAAGAAGGGTTTAGCTTGCTTAATGAATTAGTCAATAAGCATTTATTAAGTGCCTACTACATGCCAAGCAAGAGGCTGCTAGATGGGTTCAGTGGATCAAATCCAGCCTCAGACACTTAGTTGCTATGTAACCTTGGGCAAGTCACTTAACCTCTGTTGCCTTAATTCACTGGAGAAGGAAATGACAAACTACTCCAGTATCTTTGCCAAAAAACAAAACAAAACAAAAATCCATGGACAGTATTGGCATGCTATGGTTCACAGGGTCATGAAGGGTCAGAAAACAACTGAACTACAAACAGTATTCCAAGCACTGTGCATGACACTCAGGATCCAAAGTAAAAACAGTCTCTGCTCTAAAGGAACTTAACATTCCACCGGGGATAACAGCAAGTATATAAATGGATACATACCAGCTACATGCAGAGAAGATCAGTGGTTCCCAACATTTTTTTGTTCTGTGAACCCCTTTCAACAACAACCCAAAAACTTTGCTGTGAACCTCGGAGTAATTTGATATCCTATTCAAGATATTCCTAAGTAACTATTTACTGCTCAGGGCATCATTAAAAAAATTTTAGTGACAACCCTTAGGCTGTGGTCACAAACCCCTGAGGCATTCTCAAACTACTGGAGTAGATATATAAATTATCTTTAGAGGGGAAGGCACTAGGTGCTGAGGGAACTGGGAAAGGTCTGCAAAAGGAAACATTTGAGCTAAGTATTAAAGGAAGTCATCCATACTAAAGAACAGAGGCGAACAGGATAGCGAGTTGATTAGGGAGGTGCAAAAGGGCTGCCTTCCTGCAGTGAGAGCCCAGTTGAAATCATGTAACATATTTTTGCAGTGGTATCAGCATGTTTCACAATTTTCTCTAGTTCTGTTCAGCAACACATGAATTGAAGTGATCAACAGACGGTGGGAGTAATTCAAAGTTGAGGCTTGGCAGCCTGTAATGTAATACATAGTAAGTGCTTAATAAATGCACATTGATTAAAACATGTTGCAGCCTGTTTACACCCACCTCCAATGTCTTCTGTGTAAAACACATTTTTCATTCCTTATAGATTATAGTGTTCTGTGACTCACCATATAATGATATAAGTAGAGCATTGGAATTCTTCACATTTGTAATGTTTTTTTAGTACAATAATATTTCTTTTCATTGATACACCAACAGTTTGTTCATCCATTCCTCAACAGAAATCATTTCAACATATATTGGGGGAGACATAGCTGAGAGATGGGTTGTTCCTTTTTTCAGCTTATCGGGCTCTTTGTTCGGCCGGGTTAAGCAATCAGGGCTGGCTCCTGACCAGATTTTGCTGCCCACTCGAGTTATGGGTTATCTGATGGCTCTTTTAGTGCTTGAACCTGATCTGTTCGATCTCTAGATACAAATCCACCTACAATAAAGAAAGAATAAAAACAATAAACAAAAGATGCACAGGGATCCTGTGTTTGAGGACCCTTGGCAGTCACATGGAAGCACTCTTGAACCTAATAGCTCACAGCAGATCTTGCCTCAATTGAGCAAGGGAGAAAAAAGAGAAAATCCATCCATGAACCTTTTTTATGAGCCCACAGTTCCAGATCAGCAGCCTGAACTAGAAGACTTCTGTTACCATGAAGTAAGCTAATATGAAGGAGCCTCTGGAGTCGTGAGGAAGGTCTTCTTCATTATGCATGCCTGAAAGAAGGCTCCTCACTGACCTTCACCTGGGGCAGTGTCAGTCAGGGCATAGTATCTAAGGGCTGAGCCCTCATTGGCCAACCGTCCCATTACAAAGGCATATGAGACTCCTTTTACAGATGTAACGGCATTCAGAGCAAGAGGTAGAAAGCAGAGTTGGAGAAGGAGGAAGAGGGTAAGTGCGCAGCAGGTAAACAGCACAGGTGGAGGCCTGGCATAGGGTCAGCCAATAGATTCAGTGGGCTAAGTGAACTCGTTTGAACTCAGTCACCTATCAACTGGAGTGAGCTGTAGGGCGGTAGCTCCAAATCCCCTTCCCTGGGGTTGGGAACATGGACTGCAGAGGTCTAGGTCCGGTATGGAGCTTTCCGGTCCAGGTCGGGGGAAGCAGGACAGGGGTGGCAGACAGAAGCTAAGGTGACTGGGATGGGATGTGAAGCGTAAGACCACAAAACCTCAAAGAAATGGAGTCAAGGACGTCAACAGGGAAATGGAGGAGTGAAGATCCTGTGGCAAGACCAATGCATAGGCAGCACATGGGCATCCTGGGTGCTCCACTGGTGCCTCTGCAAGGTCAACATGGAACAAGAGTCTCACACCATGGGCATGGATGGCAGGAACATCTCCATTAGTTAAGTCCCAGTGCACTTGATTGACAAACAAATGATTTATATGATGATACAGAACCCCTAAAAAATAAGATTTAAAAGAACACAGACGTTAATGATGACCTTCTTTGATGCCTCAACAGATGTGACAGGAGAGGAGAAGAGAGAAGAGACATGATCTCATTGTCCTGGGTCTGTCCCCTGATGCCTGTTAGGGTACAAGCTATGCATGTTTACCCAACCTAAAACATGGCTCTTGCCCACAGGGGGTAGGGTCTCTTGTCAATATTCTTCCATAAATCCATGATTGGGAAGTAGGGAGGTCCACCCAATTTGTTGGGCACCTTCTTCTATATAGCTTGACATTTCCTGGACTCCAATAGATGTGACTTTTTTTTTTAAAGGAAAAAAGTAATCATAGTCACTGGAGTCAATCTGTGTGGACTGCAAATATGTTTTCTAAAAATAGCAACAAAACTTTAAAGAGGCAGAGGGGTACAGTGAATACAGAAAAAGTGTTCAAATCTGGAAAAACCTCAGTCACTTACAGAACAAAATAGCATGTACACATGTACACACACAATAATGTGTGTGTATAATTAATCAATACAAGGCAGATAAGGGGGAGGCAATGAGAAGCTGGAGAGATAAGGAGAAGTTTCTTGTAAGAAGCAGCACTTAAAGATGATCCTTGAAGGAAATCAGGGATTTCGGGAGGCTCAGGTGAGGATCCAGGCCACTCTAGGCTTGGGGGTGGGGCTGGGAGTGAGAGGAAAATCTATGCAAAGATGTGGAGGTAGGAGATGGTATGTGGAATGTTGCGGCCACAGCAAGTAGATGAATTTGGCTGGGCTGAGGATATAAAGGGAAATAATGTATAATAAAGCTAGAAAGATATGTTGAAGCCAGGTTGTAAAGAGCTTGGAGTCAGGAAGCCCTGAGTTCAAATCCTGCACACACACACCCCCACAATCCTTAAACATTTTACAAATATTAGCTATTATTTCTGTTGTCATTTAAAAGCCAAAGTTGAGAAGAATTTTTATTTTATCTCAGAAATTCAGGAGCCTAAGGAGCTACATGGAAGGATCTGTACTTTGGGAATAACACCTGGGCAGGTGTGTGCATGAAGGACTAGAGGGGAAATGAGCAGCCGGAGGAAGGGAAAGCAGCCAATGAGGACCCAGGAGTCCACATGGACATGGTTGTCTGGAACAGCGTGATGGAGCCAGGACTGCGCTTCCCCTCCAGCCTCAGTTACCTCATCTGTAAAATGAAAGTGTAGGACCAGATGGGCTGAGGGTGACTTCCAGGTCACTTCTGAGCTGCCCTGCCCCAGTCTCCTCATCTGTAAAATGAAGGGACTGGCCTCCAGGCCCTCGGGGAATACCACCAGCCCTCTACACCCAAGTCGTCGCAGCGCGCATGCGCACACGCGCCGGAGGGAGGCTCGGAGGAGGGCGGGCAAAGGTGGCGTCACTACAGGGGAAGAGGGCGTGGCCGAGTCGTCGCCATGGAGACGCGTGGGGGCGGCGGCGGGAGCGGCCGCGGGCGGCCAGGTGGCAGTGGTGGCGGCGGCGGCGGCGCGGCTGAACCGGGTCTGGCTGGAGCCCGCCCGGGCTCGGGCAGCCGGGGCCGGCGGGATGAACGTCCGAGGCGGACGAGGGGGTCCGGGGGCCGGCGAGGAGTGCGACGAGGACGACGAGGAGCGGGAGGCCGTCAGCCAGGTCTTCCACGTGTCCCGGCTGCCGCCCATCTCCGGCTACGTGCCCGACACCAGCCGGCGGAAGGTGAAGAAGAAGAAGAAGAAGAAGAAGAAGAAGAAGAAGTCGCCGACCACCGGGCTGGGCAAGGGCTCCGGCAAAGGAGACGGTGGGCGAGCGGGGCGAGGCGGGCAGCGCAGGGGGCGGGGCCGAAGAGGAGGATTGGAGAGGGGGCGGGGCCTGGAGGGGAGGGGGCGTAGCCTACAAGGGGGTTGGCTCAAGGAGGGATCAGATAGGGTGGGGCAGGTGAGGGAGCTTCCAAGGGGGCGTGGCCTAGGCAGGAGGCGGGCGATTGGAGAGAGGAGGGAGGGGGGCAGACAGGGGAACCGTCAAGGGGGTGGGGCCGTTAGAAGCCGTGCGCATGGCAGAGGAGTCACAGGATGCTACAGAGGGGGAAACTGAGGCTCAGAGAGACCTACCCAGGGTCGTACAGGTAGTGAGAGGCAGAGGGAGGAGTCGTACCTCCAGGAAAGAGACAAGGGGGATGGTAAGATGAGAGGGCAACCCCCATGTACCCCAACATGCTGGGGTTCCTCTCCAACCCTTCAAAACACTCACACGTTCCATACGTCCATATGCATACACACGTGAAGACCCACAACCAGACACAAACTCCTCTAGACCACTCCACAGACATCCCCAAACACACACAAAAACACATCCCCAAAACATGGTGTAGTGGGGCTGGCTTGTGGCCTGGGCTAGGAGTCAGGAAGATTAGATTCAAGCCCTGCCTGGGACCCTTATTAACTGTGCCTTCCTGGACAAGTAAGTCATGTAACCTGTCTATGCCAAAATATCCTCATCTGTAAAATGGTCTTCTCCAGCTTGAAATCTAATGACATGGGACATATCTAACTACAGAATCTCAAAGTTGTAAGAGACCTCAATGGCCATCTAGTGGAAACCACATCTGGAAAAAAAACCCTCTCAATAAGGGTTTCTTATTTATTATCTAGTATTGTTATATTATTATAATATATAATTTATATATAATGATAATTATGTTATATATTATGTTATTATCTTATCTATTATCTCAATAATATACCCACCAGACAATCACCCAATCTCAATCAACCAAAAAACATGGTTGCTATCCCGTTCCACTTTGGTGTTGCTGTCATTGTTATAAAGTTGGTTTTTTGTTTGTTTGTTTTGTTTTCTGTCACAATCTGCCCTAAATTTGCCACTCTGGGGATTCATCCCCATTGCTCCTACTTATACCACTGAGGCTAAGCAGCACAAATCAAGTTCCTCCTTAAACATCGCCCGGCATTTAAAGGACAGCAGCAGTTAAATACTTGAACCCAAGTCTCTAGGACTTCTCCCCAGAAAATACCCGAAAAAGTCACACCCAAACATATATATGCACCATACTAAAACACATACACACTCCCCAAACATAAAATCACTACCCTCTAAAATATATAGATACATCCCAATAAATATCCTGCCCATACCCTCAGAGACCACCTCCCAGCTCACACACGCAATCTCAAACATACATATAGACAGCCTCTAAGCACACACAGATACCATACACAGTCATACACATACACATACCCCACGCAAGGTATCCCCAAACATATGCATCTAAATCCACAGACACCTTCCCACACATCCTTACTTGCCCAGATTTGGCAGTCTGTGTATCTGCAGATCCATATATACTGTCATTCCTTTCCAGACACAACTAGCTCCCCACAATACAGACATATGCACATACACCCACACACATAGCTGCCACCACATACACTCATATACAGACAACTCTCAAAACATACCCTGTACATACTCATACATATATTAATCTCAAGTATACATACATAGCAGAAATATCCTATTCCTAAATATATATAGGTACACACACAAAGACAAGTATATACACAAACATCTCTCCCCTACGCACACACACACCACACACACACACACACACTCCTCCTCATCATCCCCAAAATAGGCCCTCTGCAGAGCTGCCAGCATCAAAACATGTTTTGAATACCCACTGATACAAAGAGCTCTTTTTCATTTAAAAATAAGAAGGCTCACTAGCAGTCCTTGACTTGTTCACAGGAAGCTTGGGTATAAATATAAAGTGAAAGCTACTTTGATGCTCGAGGCAACTGGCTCTGGGTTGGTGCTGTTGAGCTGTGGTGCTCACCCCATACTCCCTGCCCAGATCCAGAATTTGTAAACTGGCATTACTGAGTCACTGAATTTTGGCACTTGAAGGGACCCTTACAGAGAGATTCAAAGAGATGCCCACATTGGCTATGTAGACACAGGCACAGAAAGAGATTGTTCCACCAGGACCAGCCCCTTTGTACTTGGCTGCATACATAGACTATGTTTCAGGGAACGGTAGCAGTAAGAAGATCAGAATGACTTTTTCGGGCAATCAGTAAAGTCACATGGTGACATTTACCATCTTTTTTTTCTCCTTAGCTTAGACTTTCTTTAAACATTGCTTTGGGAGTGACTCATTGTGGGGGGGGGGGGAACAAGGCAGGGCTCGCACACACAAGATGATTTTCCAAAAGCAGGGGGTTGGAGAATCTTCAACTATAACACTGAAGGAAGGGTTACTTCGCATTTTTGTATCCCAGAAAAGGAAGGGTCAGCTGATAAAAATGCCCACAGTTTATATTATTTAAACCATATATTATGTAGTCCTGAAGTCGAATTAATTTTTTCTAATCCAATAATACAAAGATCCCAGCTTGGCATAATTCTAGTACTTTTGGAAAAGTTAGGAGAGTTTTATAAATTCTTGTCCTGCTGTCGCTCCATCCTAAATGGTACACTCTTTTACCTTTGGTATGCAAGTAAATGTGCACACATTCTTACCTATTCCCAACAGAGATCCCAGCAATGTCAACATTTAACCTCTGTAGAGCTTCAGTCACGGAAACATGCTGGGAGCTTTTTCTTTAAACGTTAACATGGCCAAGGAATCCCAGTGAATGATGGATATTGGGTTGGCTCATTTAGCTTCCTTAACTCTTTAGGGCAATCTCTGGCTAACTGAGCTTATCTACTCCAGTAATTAGGCCAACAGAACAGAGACTCAGCCTCTTTTCCTCTTATGACATTTTAGGTTCCAGCAAAGATCCTAGCTCCAAACTAGAGTCTATGAAAGAGGTCAAAAGAGAGAAAGAGGAAAACAAGCATCTCTCTAGTTCCTCCTCTGGGAATACTGCCTTTTCCTCGGCTGAAGTGGAAGAGAGCCTTTCCACCAAGATCAATGACAGTCTCCGCTGGGAAGGCATCCTTGAAGACCCAGTAGCAGAGGAAGAACGGATCCGCATCTATAAACTCAACAGAAGAAAACGGTATCGACTATCAGCTCAGGAAGGATTTTGCCCGACTCCAAGTGTCCCGGAAGGGATGAATGAGAAAGTCTCAGTCCTTCCAGACCCAGAGAGCCGTGTGAACAGCAAACAGCAAGCCGTGAAGGTGGATCGCCTCAACTGTTTCCTTGATGGAAACATGCTATCAGAGATCCTACCCTCTCCAGAATTAGCGACAGCCAATGTATCCAAGCAGAAACTTTCTTCTGCTTTGGCAAATCTATCCTGATCCCAGGTGTGTGTGTGTGTGTGTGTGTGTGTGCGCGCGTGCGTGCATGCGCGCGTGAGCTTGAGAGCACCCGTGCTCGCATATAGGAAAATTAAATAACGGAAACAGGCCAATCCTGAAGAGGACAGATACTCTGTTTTCCCATTGAGACCAGCCTGTCCTTTCAACAAAATGTTATGTGTCAAAATAAGACCACCTCTTTATAAAGAACAAAAAAAAAAATGAAAGCATTTGTAGTGACCCACTGAATTTCATTGAGTCAAACTCTGATTTCCCTCAGCCCAGCCCAAGTGGCTCTCTCTTGCTTACCCTCATAGAGAGCAGACAGGGTGCAGATGATGTAATCACCCCTCCATCGTTTATGCTGTAAGACCTGTCCCATAACCCGCTTCTCTGGAGACCTGCCGTGCTCCCGACATATTGGAAATGAACTAAGCCAGGGCTGGGGAACCTTCGGCCTCGAGGTCATACGTGGCCCCGGGCCACACTTGAGGACCTCGAGGGCCACATGTGCCTCGAGGTTGAAGGTTCCCCACCTCTGGCTGAGCCACTTGTCAGTGATGAGAGGCAGTGTGATACGTAGCCGTGAAGTCAGAGATCCAAGGTTGGAATCCTCACTCTACAACCTTACCACCTATGGTGTGCACCTTGGGCAACGACCTTTTACCTCTCTGGACTTCCATTTCCATCCCGTGCCAAATGCTATGATCTTATACAGAATTAGAGGAGAGAAGGGACTAAACATTTATATAGCGCCTACTATGTGCCAGGCACTGTGCTAAGTGCTTTTAAAATTTTATTTGATATTTACAAATGCTATCTGATCCTCACAACAACCCTGGGAGGAAGGTGCTGATATTATACCCATTTTACAGTTGAGGAAGTGGAGGCAAAGAGACTCCAGGCCCAGTGTTCTGTCCATGCTTCAACATGAGGTCTACCTAAAATCCCATCCAAGGGAATTTATTCTTGGCAATTAAATGTTCTTTGAAAAAATACTTATAGAGTATTTAAAAGCACAGTAGAAATACCAAAAAGACAGCAGCAGCAGCAGTATAACATTTATATAGTCTTCTAGTGTTTTCAACGGTAAGTTAAGTGGTGCAGTGGATAGAGTGCCAAGCCTGGAGTCAGAAAGACCTGAGTTCAAATCCAGCCTCAGATACTTACTAGTTGTATGATCCTGGGCAAGTCACTTAGCCCTGTTTGCCTCAGTTTCCTCATCTGTTCAATGAGCTGGAGAAGGAAATGGCAAACCTCTCCAGTATCTTTGCTGAGAAAATCCCAGATGGGATCAGGAAGAGTTGGACAAAAGTATTTTCAAAGCACTTAACATGCATTATCTCATTTGATTGTCATAACAATCCTGGGAGGCAGGTGCCATCATTACATTCATCTTACCGATGAAGAAACTGAGGCAAACGGGGGTTAAAGGACCTGCCCAAAGTCACACAGCTAGTTAGTGACTGAAACAGGATTTGAACTCATGACCTCCATAGTAACACTGCTTCACTTACAAACAACCCTTTTTCTAGCCCCTTGACGACAGTGATGCAGTAAGTTTCCAGCAGAGCAGAAGAGGCATAGAAACAGAGAAAAGTGACTACATTTGGATGCCATTTGTCATACTTTAGTATCTGTTCATCGAGCCACTATTTCTCCAGGATGTGCTCTGTTTATAACTCTGTGCTAGGTGCTCCTGAGGATACAAAAGTCCCTGCCCTCAAGGAGTTTATGGTCTTAACTGGGATATAAGACATGACATAGATGAAAAAGTAAGCAATGGTAAAGAACAGCATAGGATTAAGTACCCATATCTCACCCTCCCCCACCCCAGAGCTATGATTTCACTGTTGTAGGGAAACCCAAGGGAGAAAATTCCTTCTGCCATTTATGTAGCCTTAGAAACCTGAGATGAGAAATGTCTTGTCCAGAATCACATGACAGAGAATATTGAACTCAAGTATTCTCAGCTCTGAGACCAGCTCTCTACTATACCATTTTGCCTCTCAAGCATCGCATAATAGGAATAATAGCTAACATTTATGTAGCAGCTACCATGCACCAGGCACTGTGGTGAGCATTTTACAAATATCTCATTTGACCCTCACAACGACCCTGGGACGCAGGTGATGTTATAATCCCCATTTTACAGATGAGGAAACTGAAGTAAACAGAGGCAAGGCGACTTAGCCCAGGTTACAGTAGGTAAATGTCAAAGGTGGGCTGAGAGTCCAGATGCTCCGACAGAAAGAGCCCCGGCTCTTTCCACTGGACTGTGATGCTATTGTTTTCCTAGGTCTGCTTCTTCCACTCCATCTCGTTTTTCTCTGAGTTCACTTGAATTCAGGGTATGCCTTTGTAATGCTACACCACCCTCTGGAGGCAGTGGTAAGAGCAAGCCATGGACTCTTGTCGACAGAAGACCTTTACCTTTCCAAATGCTTGGGAAGCCAATCTCAGGGTTACCTCTACTGGAGGGAAGGGGTCACAAACCATCTCCTTGGTTGCAGTCCTGGTTATTTGTTACAGTGATGTCTCAAAACTAAACCTGGCAATATTCGCAAAATAACCAAGTATACAAAAGGCTCCCAGTTAGTTACAATGACATTCTTTCCCACCCTAATCCACCCTACAGTTCACCAAGTGCTAGAACTGAAAGGGACCAGACATCATCTAATACAGCTCCATATCTTGCCAGACTTGAACCCAGACCTCCTAACTTTCGGACCAATGCTCTTTCCATTGCCCTATCCCATACTTGGTTCGTGACCCTGGAACCTCCATGTGTCCTCTCTGGAAGGCAGAAGAATAACTCTCGTCTCTCAATTTCTCACCAACTTACAGGCACTCAGTATCTTCATTGAAGCAAACAGCTCAAATGCAAAGGATAAAAAATTGTACCAGAGGCAAAGAGGCTTCAAAAAAAAGAAAGAAACAACCAAGTTCTTCAAAAATTAGCTGTCTGAAGCTTTTCGGGGGGGGGGTGTTTCCATTTTTAAAAATACAGATGTACCCTCAATTAGGTAACCAATGGGGCCCTATTGAAGATGTGTATTCCAGTATGTGAATGAAGGCTATTTCACATTTGAATGAACAAATCAGACAGCCTAAGTCAAAAGCCCAGATTTCAATGAATCATTTGCTTCTCAAACGCTTTGGGGGAACATTCTGTTGTTCACAGGACGTTACACCTCAGAGAGGCAATGTGCAGAATAGATCGAGTCAGTGGACTTTGGAGTCAGGAAGGCTCGGTCCAGCCCCCACTATGGCATACTGGTTAAGTGACCCTGGACTTCATATATCAGTGCCCTGTGCGGCTCACCTGACGTACAATGGTGGAAGGAGCTTCCTTACTGAGATTTCCCAATACCAACCGTCTAAACGATGTTAACACTCCAAGCTCATGCAACTGATGGCTATAAACCACAGCATGATGTGGACAAGCACCGAGCTGGGGGTCTGGAGATCTGGATTCTGGTGCTAGTGCTGCTACCTCCCCTCTCTGGGACTCAGTTTCCCCCTGTGTAACATCAGGTGATTGGACCCGTTCATGCAGCTCCCACGTTCTCTAGTTCTAAATGGTTCTCAGTGCTAGAGACAAACTACTTCAGATCACAGGATGATAGCGTTAGAGAAAAGAGGGACCTCTGAGGCAATCCAACCCTCTCATTTTAGAAGGGGAAACTGAGGCCCAGGGGAGGGAAATGACAGCTATCTCTAGAACCCAGATATCCTGATCCCAAAATCACATTGGTTGTAAGCATCAGAAGCAGGATTTGAACCCAGGTTCTCTGACTACCTAGCCCGTATTCATTCCTTCAACTCCTTCTTTCCCAAGTGCTCATCTTATCAATGAAACACTGAGGTCCCTAAAAGTGACCCATTAGAATAGAAGTGGGGCCTTTCCTCTCAGAATGGCCAAGCAGCACTTTTGATTTCTCTTAGTTTCCATAGCTAAATAGTCCCATTAAAAAAAAAAAAGAAAGAAAGAAAAATTGGCATCCCTGGAATTATATTTCAGATAATTTATTGTTAAATGAAAAAGTAACAAGCAAATGGAAGTGGGGTGGAAAAAGGAGATGAGGAAGATCAGAGACAGCAGACCGCAGTTTTGGTGAAACAACATTCTGGGTTTCCTAAGGTTGGAGTATGGGGATATTGCTCAACATAGTTTCCCTTCAAAATCTTTAAAAATATAAACAATGGCAAAGGAAACCAGTGTCTCCCCTAGGATACAAATAAATGACTCAGTCACTCTTGTGCACATTTTTAGCAGGTCAACTTGGCAATCCTTTGAGGTCATCGTTAACAAGTAGACAGAGCGAAAACCACTTTGAATGAATGTAAGACAAAGAAATTGGTCCTTCCAGAGGTGTTTCCGAATGAATAGGTTCTAAGAAGCTGAGCAATGACAGCAGAGGCAGCCTGGGCTCCCGTAGGAACATATCAGTCCTTCGGTCCACATTTTCCCAAAGCTAAGCCTCCTTGACGGGTGTCCTGTTGCCCTAGGCTGCCTCCTTCAGAAAATCAGATTGGCTAGAAAAGGGAAGACTAGGAGCTCTGCCGATTCCCTAGTGAATAACTTCCAAACAAAAGCATGCAAACACTTCCTTTCCCCCTTAGTTTCACAATCACGTCTTCACTTGCGCTCACTTACATCCCAACATCAGATTCTCCTCACCCTCACGGCTTCTCAACCACCTCACTACCTTCCTGCAAACTTAACTTCTTCACCTAAACAATACTCTCACTTAAGGAAGGCTCTCAGATGAGAAATCCAATCTATGTTTGGCCAGAAAAGTGATTTCTCCTCCCAATGAGGCTCTTCCTGCTGAGTCAACAATACTGTTTGGGGGGGGGGGGGAAGGGGGCGAGGTTGTTTGTTTGTTCCAGTATTGTAAATTTAATCCAAGTTAAATATCTAGACAGAACAGTGAAAAAGAATGAAAGGCACTTCTCATCACTTTAAATGACATCACATTTACAAGTAACCCAAAATTACATATTACCTTGATATTGCAGCCACCCCTACTGTTTTTCCATATCTGAGATTCTAACATTAATTCCCATATTTGAATTCTTTCTCATTTGCCCGTAAGTATTCAATGAACATTGTTGCAATACTTCACCGATTGGCTCTGCAGTGAAATTTAGAGTCCAAAAGCACTCCTGCAGCCCCGTTCAGTATCACATTATTTAATGCAAAATTAGTTACTTGGCCTGAGCTCTCTATGCGGCAGTGTTTAAAATATATTTAGAAAAACAAAATAATTTCTATTCTAATTTTGAAATCAGCATTGGGCAATTCTGCTCTGAAGGCATCAGTCTCCAAAGAAGCATGCTGATCTCCGCAACTTCATTATGAGAAAGGGTATGCTGGAGTCAGCTCTAACCAGCTCATTGTTAATTTTGCAGCATGAGCATTTATACCTTGGAAACCAGCAAAAGCTACAAATCACAGCTTGGCTTACTGTTCTGTTGATTATCTAGACTTAAGAAAATGATGGAGAAAATATGAATGATGCAGATTAAATTTAAAGGTGTGTAAGCTTCCCCTCCCCCCGAGAGCTGGTTATTAAAAGTTTACTACCAGTACCTCCCCCCACCAATGAAGGGGAACAGAAATCACCAGATATGGCAGTTGGGTTCTTTGAATATCAACCATTTCTGCTTTTTAAACCAACCTATGCCATTAAAAGTGATCATAAGTTATTTAGAAAATGAGCATGGCCTATTTGCCATTTACGGTAGTCTATGCTCATAAGAAGAGGGTTGCTGGAAGACACCCTCGAGATTGTCTACTCCAATCTCCTTTTAAAAAGGAGAAAACTGAGGCCCACAGAACTCAAATGACTTGCCCAAGGTTCTATAGCTTGGTAGTGATAGAGCCTGAATTAGAACATACTCAAAGAGCCTGTCTGTGCTTTGTTCCTTCTGACAGGAAGGTAAAAGCCACCCACCCACTTCCTTTGCCTCAAAAAGCTTACCTGAGCTGTGTTACCTGAACAGCCCCCTTAGATTCTGCCCAAATCTCTCTGCTCTCTTAACCCCAACAGAGAATTAAAAAGCTGGGGCTCCAGAGAGGCCCACAGCAGGCCTCCAGAGAGGCCACCTTGGCTGGAGGAGCTCCTGAGCCAGAGAAGGACCACACGTGTGTTCTTGTCCTCTTTGAGCTGCTTAAGACCCTTCCACACTGTAATTCAATGCTCTGATGCATGTTTTTGTACCATAACCTGCCCACTTCCTTCCACCTCCCACCTCTGCCTTGCTTAATATGAAATAGGGGTTTGGCAGCAACAGGACCCAAAGTCAGTGGGGGCTCATACTGAGGGGGAACACTGGGGGAGAGCAAGGGCTTCAGAAGGAGTGCAGAAGCCTAAGAGAAGGGATAGCTTGCTTGCCTGAACTCTCTATGGGTGACCCACATGTAGATGCTCTCTTCTCCTGGCTGATCTCAATGATGCAACAAAGTTCTTTCTAGGGATCATCTTAGCTGATGTTGAGAATCCGGAAGGATCCTTTGGCCATTTAGCAAACATCAAAATCTTGTGCCACAGTAACAAGGTTGGATGCTTCCATTATGACCTTCCTTTGATTGAAATTCAAATTTGATCCCAAAGTTAGATTTTGTTTTTCTTCTGCCACCTGGAATTAAGCTTAAGACATTGACTGCCCTTCAAGCAACAGGGATCTTGCTCTGAATGTAACTTACTTTGGACAGAACATGTGTGAGGCTTGGGTGAGGACACTATCACAAGCTTCCAGAGAATCTAGGGTATATAGATATGTCTCCCTCCTAAATAATACCGAGACATGACCCATGCCAGTCATTTCCAGTTGTGAGTCAAAAGGCATCAATCTTGAGAAATCCTACAAGCATTCCATCCAAGCAGCCTTAAAAATGACATTTCTCTCAAATATGTGCCACACTATATTTTGCCTTATGGAGACTAGGAAAGTATTTGGAAACCCCAATGTACATATCAGAAGAGTTCCACAAGTCTGTGGTGTCTTAGCAGGATTCCAGAGATTGCAAGGCTTGTCGCCAGGGTCCTCGGGTAAGAAGACAAGAGGCTTTCCTCATGACTAGTGGAATGGTTAACCAAAGTCTTTTGGTCTTTTCTTCGGATCAGTTAACTAAATTTCCAAGTGACTTCCAGCATCATTCAAAAGACAGCCATGGTGGAAACATCACCTTAGAACAGGCTTCTGGGATTTTTCAACCAATAGTTGAAAAAGATCTAGGAAATTCCAGAATCTTCAGCAAACAGGAAGGACAAGTCTGCATTCTGATTGAAACAGAAATAACTCATGGACCTCAGTTTACACAGATTGAGCCCATATGGGTGGGACAGCTCAGGCAATAAGTCCCATTACTTTCAACAGAAGTTGCTTCAAATGAGAAGCTCACTCTTTCCCCCTAGAAGACTTTTTCCACACTCTACCACAGACCAGCTCTGCCTTCCCTATATATAGGAGGAGCTATGTTTCCTATTTCAAAGGTTGGGTTTTTTTTTCTACTTTCCCTTTTACTTAGATATTCCCTTTATTTGTTATTTGATCGATTTGGGGGATATGCAACTGTGGGCCAAGAAAATTAAATGCCTTGAAAAAGAAAAGCTAAAATCAAATTCCCACAGTAACAAAAGATGCCGGAGGTGGGTTTTTTTTTCTCTCTCTCTCTCTTTTGCCGAGGCTGGACACAGGAAGCTAGAATGATAGAGAAGGCTGCTTCAGAGTTGAAAATGACTGGGTAATAAAGGCATTGCCCATTTTCACTTAGAAAGGTCAAAGAAGTGAGCAACACACTCAGAAGGACTGACTTCCATTCCATCCCCCCCCCCATGTCTCATTCATCATTCATCCGAGAGGTAATCACTTGCTGGGCATTCCGAGGCTTCCAGTTCCACGCTGGACAAAAACCGCCTGGTGGACTTCCTGCAGTTGTAATCCAGGGTGGTGGTGTAGACGGTCTTGGTGTGCTTGGGGTAGACAATGGTGGTGCTGAGAAATCGCAGGGCCTTGTTTCGGGGCTCAAAGCGGAGCTCAGCTTTGTAGTTCCTCCAGGTGCAGCCGGGGATGCAGACCACTGTCTGACTGCAGGAGGAGACCGCCAGGCCCACGGGCATATAGATGTTGTCGATGAAGTGCTTCTCCGAGTCATACTTCACCGAGGAGGTGTACCTGCAGGCCAGGACACACGAGAGAGCATGAAGCAGACCTTGGGACAGGGGCTGTTCTGGCTTATGAGGAAGCACTGGGCTGAGACTCAACAAACAGGGGACGTGGGACGGGTTTAGAGGGTGTCAGTGTGGGGAGTTGGCTGGACTTCTTCTTTGTGGTGCTTCCTCATCCAGCATAGCTGTGGGAATTCTGGCATTTCCGTCCCAGCCACGAGGCTTTACTCAGAGCATTGCAACAGATCAGCTTTAAACTAGAGGCTAAAGGGAGGAGGCCTCAGACAGACTGTCATCCTCTCACTTACTAATGGAGAGCTACATGCAATCCCTATTTCTAACCATCAAAATTCTTGAAATTTGACCCTGCTCAGTAGTAAATTTGATCCAACTTAGCTGGCTTTCCTTAAAAGGATCATTGCAAACCTCAGCATTTCATAAAATATCAGTTTCTGAAAAGGGAGGGAAAGAGAGGGATAGACACAGAGAGAGACAGAAAGACAAAGGGAAGAGAGGGAAGGAGGGAGGAAAGAAGCAAAGAAGGAAGGGAGGAAGGAGGAATGAAAGGATGGAAGAAAGGAAGGAGGGAAGGAGGAAGGAAGGAAGGGAGGGAGGAGAGGAAGAAAAGGATGGAGGAAAGAAGGAAGGAAGGGAGGAAGGAGGAATAAAGGGATGGATGAAAGAAGGAAGGAAAGAAGGGGAGAGAAAAATTAAGGTTAAGAAAGAACAAGAAGGAAAGAAAGATGACAACAAAGAAGAAAACATGGGAAAGAGAAAACGAAGAAGAGAATAAAGGAAGAAGGAAGAAAAAAGAAAAATTCCAAGGTATTTTATTTTTAACGCCTTGTAAATTTCTTCTAAGAAGAATGAAGAAACATTTAAAATCAAGGTGCTATAATAGGCTCCTAAATACATAAGAAACAGGTGCCAAGGGTCCCAGGGCTGTGGCCTAACTTTCCCTAAGCAGGCAGCCAGATGGTAAATTAGCATTCTTGTCTACTTTTTTGGGTATAGAGCACTATTCTCCCTGGGCAAATGGGTACGTGGCGATGTCTGGGGTTAAATTGAGGAGCTCATATGCCGATGTTATTCAAGATCAAAGATCATGACTCCACATGCCAAGAAAATTACACACCATGGAATGAAGCGTGAAAACACAATTGAAAAACTTTCTTTTTTTTAACATGGGAGGTCCCTGTGTGCTGCTCCAACAGAAACTATTTAGAAGACTAGGAGCTACCCAAAGTAGAACATCCTTTCTTTTAATAAGGTTCTTTTTACCCAACTTTCAATTTAACCTTTTCCCCAAATCATCCTCAAAAGAAAAGGAAGGAAGGGAACAAAGAAGGGAACTTATATAGCACCTACTATGTGCCAGGCACTGTGCTAAGTGCTTTATACAAACATTCTCTCATTTGGTCCTCACAACAACCCCAGAGAGATAGGTGCTATTATTATCCCCATTTTACAGATGAAGAAACTGAGGCAAACAGAGGTTAAGTGATTTGCCCAAGGTCAGGCAGCTAGCAAGCATCTGAAGCTAGATTTGAACTAGGTCTTCCTGACTCCAGGTCCAGCATTCTATCCACAGCTGCTTCAGGAAAGGGCAATTAAGTCATCTACAGTGACACGCTCTAAGAGGAGTACTTATAGCAACCCCTTTCTACTTCCACCCTCACTCCCCCACCCCTAGTGAAAATGGTGCATTTTCTAGGAAAGGAAGGGAGGCAGAGCTTCCAAAGCTAAAAGAACATTGGGCGCACTTACCTTATTTCCTTTGGAGGTAGCGGATCAAACTCTACTCCTTCACCAAAAGACAGAGGGCAGAGCCTCGGGGGGCAGCCAGGCCCCAGGGGATTGGGTAGAAAGCCAGAATTCTGTAAGCAAGAAGAGGAAGATGCTGTCAGGCAGGCCGGCTGGTGGAGCCCAGGGACCCCTTCTCAGAATCAGGTTTTTAAATGTATTGAATAAAATCCACAGGATTGCAAAGGAAAACAATTATATTGTAATACACTACAGTTATCAAATTTTTTTTCTTAAAACACGAGTTTTCGACCTCATTTTAAAACTCTCTGATCTAGTCTAACAGCCACGTTCTATAGAGAAAAGAACTGAAATTGAAGGAGAAGTAACTCGGCTAAGATCATGAGTAGTAAGGAGGATAGTTGGGATTTCAAATCAAGTATCCTAAAGACCAGGCTCCCTTTTCTCCATTCCAATTTCCAGGATGTCAGAATTGAAGAGTAGGAAAGGACATTCAGGGGTCACCTATTCCAAACCTTACCTGACCAAGAATTCCTTCCACAATATCTGGCTTCTGTTTGTATACCTGTAGTAACGGGGAACTCTCTATCTTCCAAGGCAGCCCATTATCCTTTTGAATTGTTATAATTGTTAGGGAGTTGTTTGTTTTCTTTTCCTCGAGAGCAACTTAACCCAAGCAAATAGAACAGTGAATATGACGTTTCCAGTGACTGAGAGGCATGGGTTTCAAATCGGGAGTCTATGGTACTAAATTGTCATTCAGTGCCTGATACTACAAAAGTAGAAGCCCCTCCATCTTCCATTCGTTTCTTATGTCCCTGCCCCCTCCCCCAAAGATAGCCACCATTTAACTTCCCCCAGAAAGGGCAGGAACGAAGCCTTCCTGTAGATAAGATGCTCTGATGAGAAAGCAAGCTTGAGTTGGATGATGCAATGAAACCATCCATTTTTCAACAGACTCCTCGCTTGTTGAGCACGATGTGAATGAAGAAGGGTAGCTGTCCACATCCTCGCTGTGGCCCAACTACCTGGAATCCCAGGTAAGTAATGAGACCATGCACCCCAGCTTCCCCACTCCACTTTGATAAGAAATTGGCAAGGCCCAAGAACACAAGTCAATGACAGTGCTTTAGTTGATGTATACATTAAGAACGTAACGCTGCTTTTTACGGAAGTGTCCTGGAGGGAAATACAAATTCAGCCCATCCTGACACTGTGACTCCACCTCCATCCCCTAACAGTAGCAGCTTAGCAAGGACCTTGCTGAACCAAATGACTACCTTAAGGCCTATGAGATCATTAGGCATCCGAAAGAGATTCAGTTGTGTATACCAGGTCTTACTGACACAAGAGCGTGGACTACGTGATTGAGAAAGATTGTAACAAAAAGCTTTGAAATTAAAATGATGCTGTTTAACCAAAGGTTCACTCATTTCCATCATGTCCGACTCTTCATGACCCCATTTGGGGATTTTTTGGCAGAGATACTGGAGTGGTTTGCCATTTCCTTCTCCAGCTCATTTGACAGATGAAGAAACTGAGGCAAAGAGGGTGAAGTGATTTGTTCAGGGTCACACATTGTAAGTACTTCAAATTTTGCTGAAGTCAGGTAGATACTCCCCCACCCAATCACTCTCTTTACACAGCTCAGGGAGCTATATCAATCAGCTTAGTAATCCTTAAAAAAACAGATATGGAAACATCGAGGTGGTACAGTGACTAGAGCATGGGCTCTGGAGTCAGGAGGACCAGAGTTCAAATCCAGCTTCAGACACTTGACACTTAATCCAGATTGCCTCCACACAAACAAACAAAAAAACTTGCTATGGAAACAAAGTTTTCCGGTTAAGTATCTAAAACTGATTGTACAGTGTTGGTCAGGCTTATCTCCATTAACCCTCTGTTGATTACTAAGACTATGCAGCACAATACAGTAGAAACAAGGCTAAGCTTTGAGTCCCAGGATCTGAGTTCCAATTCCCCTTACTCTGCTACTTCTCACCTGAGTGACCGTGGCTGAGTCCCTTAACCTCTTTTGCCTCTGAGTCCTGTTCTGTTCAATGAGAAGGGCCCCGACAGCTCTCCATCTCAGCTCTCTGTGTAACAGTCTGTAGTGTGTGTGTGTTGGGGAGGGAGTGTTTTTCCAAAGTGCTTCTGCACGTTCTGTAATCTATGATTTCCTTTGTCTTACAGAAGAGAGTGGAAGAACCATGTTCGGCCTGGGGTTCGAGGCTAGGACAGCTGAGTGCCCAGGTCCGTCACGTCAAGCCTGGCCAGGGGCACTCAAGCAGAGAGAGTACAGAAAGCTAACTTAGGGAGGCTTAAATCAACCAAGCAGGGCAGGAAGCAGATGGTGTCAAGTGGGTAAGGATGCTGGATGTGCTAAGAAGGGAATGGGGTGGAGATGGTGACAGGGAGTAATGAAACATGGGAAAAGGGAGGAGGACCAGAGAGCCTCAAGGCTCAGGTTTCCTGGAACTGGAAGGAGAGTTTAGGAAGTTAGTAGTAGCGAAGGCAGCTTGCCTGTTGCACAAAGCTCTGGTCAACTGGGGAAAATGAACATTTTTGTTTGTTGAATGATGATGGAGTATATACTGTGACTTTGGAGCGATCATTTGGCTTCCTGAAGACCTGGGTTCTCCATTTTACTAAATGCTCACTCTAAGTAGCTCTTTGAGCTGTCCTATCCTGCCAGGCAAGGCGAGATTGCCTGGGGCTCCTCATACTGAGAGCGATGAACACTCCTAGGGCAGGTTTCCCACCCCTGTCCTAGGGCATGCCAGCTGCTCCCCCCACACCCAAGTCTGGGCCTAGACCTTTGTTTCAGCCAAACAATGCCACGCATGCTATAGCAATAGGGGCATCTCTCTGGGCACACTTACCTAGCACTCCACATCTGAGCATGCAGAATAAGAAGTATCAGGATAAAAATCAGTTTTGCCTCCCCTTCCCAATTTACAGATATTTTTGCCCCTACTTCTTCTTCATCCCACCCTCTCCCCACTACTTTGCTGGCCTGAATTGCCACCTTCAGTAACCCAAGAGAAGGCTGCCATGGGTCAGTGGGCTAGGACAAGGTTCTTTCATTGCCATAATCCAAACCAACACTCATTCGGGCAATTAAAGGCGCCCAGCTGCAGAAATCTGCTGACAGGAAAACGAGGCGCTGTCTCCATTTGAACAGAATACAATGCCTACATCTAGCTAGAACCAGGTCTGAAGCCAAGAGTGAAGGAAGGTAGCCATAGCTACAAGTCATTTCTATGAAGGGAACTCCATGAACTGAGCCCTGGGGACATCTAGGCATGCTATTGTACAGTCATGTCTGACTCTTCGTGACCCCATTTGGGGTTTTCTTGGCAAAGACACTGGAGCGGTTTGCCATTTCCTTCTCCAGTTAATTTTCCAGATGAGGGAATGAGGCAATCGGGGCTAAGTGACTTGCCCAGGATCACACAAACCTAGTAAGTGTCTGAGGCCCGATTTGAACTCGGATCTTCCTGACTCCAAGCCCAGTGCTCTATGGGACAGCTACTTGCCCATTTGATTAAGATCTAGAAATATCCGTGCACATCTACATGCAGATTTGGGGGCGGGGGTGCAGATCTGTGATTTCATTGGAAAACTCCCTCCACCAAGGCAGACCAGCAACTGTTCAACACTCAGAGACATTGAGCTGGGAGGGACTTCGATTGGACTTCAGTCCGATTTTCTCATTGTAAAGGGGAAGGAATGGGCCAGCAGAGGCAAAGTGACTTGCCCGGGGTCACAAAAGTAGAGTCAGAAGGAGAATTTGAAACAAAGTCCTCTGACTCTAGAACCCAAGTGTTACTCTCCCGAGGCTTAGAGAGTTGCCTGGGCCACTAAAAGTTAAGTGCCTTGTCCAAGGTCACACGGCCAAGATGTGTCAAAGTTCTTCAGGACCCCTGCCACAATGCCTTTACAATTTCGTTTGTTTGTTGTTAATTATTGTTGCCTGGGGTGGGGGTGGGGTGGGGGGGTTTCCCTGAAACCACCTCCTGAGTTACGTTAGGCGGCCATTCTCCAAGTCCCAGAGAGCCTTATCTATTAACAAACGATGGTGGGGGGAGGGTCGAGTGTGCAGGTAGTAAGCTGTACGAGACTCCAGAAACCCAGCTGCCATCTCAGCCTCGGCCACAAATGTGGCAAGCCTTAGCCAAACCCTCGGGCCTGTCCTCTCTTCTTTCGGCGATGCCAAGGGCTTCGGGTTCCAGCTTGATGGAGGATAAGGCATGACTAGCTTCGGACAGAGAGTGCCCGGCTTAAGAGAGGCAGGGTGGGTACATCCAGGTCCGAGGTGGGGCCACAACGGAGCCCGGGAGACCCGGCTCCCTTGCCATTTGGGTCTGCCTGTCTCTGTCTCCCCCACCCTCGCTGCTCCAACTCTCTCTCACACACTCTCTCCTGGGCTTCGACCTCTTACACTATGACAATTTTCCAGCCGCCGCCGCCGCCGCCGCTGCCGCGTCCAGCTGGCCACAGGTTCGAGGCGCGGGTCGGGATCCAGACGCTGCAGCGCGGCGGGCACTCCGCCCTCTCCCCCCGGCCTCAGGCAGCCCCAAGGCCGCCTGGCTCGTAACTCCGTGGCTCTGGCGGCGTCCTCCAAAGTCCTAGAGCATCCGCCAGACAGCGGGGACCCTGGGGTGGGGGTGGGGTGGGGGGTCCCCAGCGCCTCCCTGGCCCGGCCTCATCGGACTCTCGGCGCAGGGCGCGCAGCGCAGCGCCGCGCAGCCTGGCCCGGGCGGTGCCCACCCACACCCCCAGCCGCATGCTCCGCCACTCACCGCGGCAGTGGGTCCGGGCGCTGCTGCGTCGGGCTCCAGCAGTCCCGGGGCCAGCCCCCGCTCCGCGCCCCCGCCGCCGCCGCCGCCGCCGCCGCCGCCGCCGCCCGGGGCCAGCAGCCAGTGGCTGGGGCTGGGGCTCGGGGGCAGTCCCGAGTCCGGGCTATCCAGTACTCCGTCCCCCTTCTTCTTCATGTCCAGGAGCTCGGGGACATCCTGCAGACTAAGCCGGCCGACCATGGCGGGGGCCTCGGGGGAAGGGGGCGGGAGGGGAAGAGAAGGAGGGGGGACCCGCCGAGGGAGCTCCGCGCGGAAACGCCGTTTGCTCAACCACCTGCAGCGACTTCCTCCGGCCCGCCGCCGCTGGCCCGCGGTGGAACGAAGGGCGGGGGACGGGGCGGGGAGGGGTGGCCCGGCCCGGCCCGGCCCTGCCCTCGAGGGATGTGGAGGGGGTGGCGGCGGCGGCGGCGGCGGCGGCGGCGGCGGCCGCGGCTCCTCTCCCGGGGCTCCCGCCTCGGCGCGCACTGGCCGCCCTGTGCAGCGCCAGGGGCCGCTGCGCTCCCGCTCCCGCTCCCCTTCTGGCTCCGGCACGGGGCGGGCGGCGCCGCCGACACCGCCTCCGGCCCCAGCTGATTGGAGGGAGGGTAGCAGGGCCCCCGGGGGGCTGCGGGGCTCGCGCTAGGCTCGGCGCGGCGGTCCTCCCTGCCGTCCTCACCGGCCGCAGTCGGCCAGCACTCCTCCGTGGCCGCTCCAGTCACGCGCCCTCCGCCCTTTCCTGCATGTGCCCCTCCCCGTCCCGCGGGGAACAAGCCCCCGGAGTACTCGAGGATCCTCCCCACCTGCCTGCTCACTTCTCTCTCCCTCCTCCCCAGCCCGCGGGGATCAGGGCCCAAAGCACGATTCCGTCCCCCTTCCATCCTCCAGGGCCAGAGAAGGGGGCAGCATGGCCCAGGACGGGCTATGCTCATCCCTTCCGTCTTCCCTACTCCTCTCTCCCATCTCCGTTCCCTCCGGGCGCTGGGCTCTGCGCCCTGCGGCTCCCTTTGAGTGCATGACTGTTAGAACTTCGGGGGTTCCTGCGTCCATGTGGCTCGGGCGCGGAAGGCAAGCATGGTGGTCGGGGAATTGGGCCAGGACGTGACTTCAGTGGAGGAGGGAAGCCGGAGGAGTCAGACACGCTCGGGTGGCGGGTGAACGACCCCCGCCCCAGCAGCGGAGGCGGTGTTGGCCTCGGCCCGGACAGGCTTCCTTTCCTTGGCCCAAGTGTCCTGCACTGATAAGAGCCAGGGGTTTCCCCATTAGGCCCATAAGGGCCTGTCACCACTAGTGCCAAATCTGGGAAGTGCTAATGTCTGTTGACAGATGCGTCTACAAGGTTGCAGGATAGGGGAGTGGGTGTGTGCCTCCGTGTGTGGGGGGCGGGGGGAGGGGTGATGCGGAGGTTGCATCGATTGGCCAAGTTCGCCCCGATTGGGGATAGAAGAGACAAATGCCTTTTTACCCAAGGGAAAGAAACAACTGGAAATTATTAATGTTTAATGTACCACATATGCTCCCAACCTCCTGTTTGCTTAGGGAAGATCTTTTTTTTTTTTCTTTTTGTCTTTCTCTTTTTTTTTTTTTTGGAAGGTTTGGGATACTTTTGTTCCCCAGGGGATGCTGCAACTGGAAATGCCAGGGTCCTGGCTCTCTTGGGAGAAATGTGTACAAAGGAGGGTCTAAAATCATCGTTCCTTCATAGGGAGAACAGGGCCTGGGCAGGTTGTATCCTATGCTAGGCAGGAGGTTTCTGGCTTTGGGGAGGGCCAGCTGGTTCCCAGAAGCAAAGCAGAAACTTCTGGTAAAGTCCTGGGGCCACCAGACCACGTGCATCTCCGGTATGGGGGCCTTAACCCTGTGGCTGGGCCAGGCTGAAGTCCTGGGGATGTGGCAAGCTAGGGAAGAAGGGAAGCCAGCCTGCTACCGCTGAGCAGGGAGCTTTCACCCACAGCAGGACAGCAATCAGTTCTGCCAGGAGCTGGGAAGGGTGTTTTCTCTCTGAAAGCCAAACTGTGGGGACCTCTCCCTTTTGGCAGAGAACTCGGTGTCTGAGTGGGAATTGGATTCGGTAGCAGCTGATAATAGGGATTGGTCATATAGGATAGAGGATCGTTGGGCTAGAGATGGAAGAGGCCTAGGACACCATCTGGTCTAAGCCTTTTTTTTTTTTTTTTAAGAGAAGGAAACAGTCCCAGAGAGGCTAGTGATTTGTCCAGCCTGACATACAGAGGAAGACAGGTAGAGATTGGTCCCAGGTCCCCTACCTTCAAATCCAATGCCCTCTTTCAAATGAGATCATATTTATAAAGGGTTTAGCCCAGTGCCTGGCACACATGAAGTGCTTATAAATGTTTGTTCCCTTCCCCAAACACCATTCTTTCTAGTCAATTGCTGTACCTCCTAGACTTAGCTGCCTGAAGGCAGGGACCCTTGTCCTATCTAAGCCTTGTACTTCCCCCAGGACCTAGGTCCTGTGCTCTCCACCCAATAACACTTAAAGATGGTTATTGAAGGAATGAATGGGGTGGCACTATGAATGGAGCCCTGGACTTGGTATCAGGAAGACCTGAATTCGAATCTTTCCTTTGGCACTTACTAGCTGTGTGATATCGTGCAAATTACTGCTCAGCTCTGGATCTGAGTTTCCTCATGTGTAAAATGGGAGTAGTAATAGCTCCTACCTCATAGGGTTGTCATGAGGATCAGATGAGCTATTTGTAAAGCAATTTACAAACCTGGAATTTGTTGGTTTTGCCATTTCCTTCTTCAGCTCATTTTACAGATGAGGAAAGTAAGGTCAACAGGGTGAAGTGACTCATCCAGGGCCACACAGCCAGTAAGTGTCTGAGGCCAGATTTGAACTGGGGAAGAAAGTCTTTCTGTCTCCAGGCCTGGTGCTTTGTGCACTATGGTGCCACCTAGCTGCTCCACACAAATGTTCACTAGTATTATTAAATGACAAAAGCCTAAGGACCTTTCTGACAGCTGCTTTTTTAGGAGTGTTGGAGAATGACTTTAGAGGTCATTGAGCTCCTCCCCTCTCCTCTTTTTACCCAATTGGAAAATGAGATCTAGAGAAAAGTGACTTGCCCAGTCTCTTCTGAACAAGCATCATCAACATAAGAACTTTGGGGAAATTGATGAAGCCGGAAATGAGGGCCTGGCAAAGGCAGCATTATTAAAGATGGCCTCAGGGAGAACCCGTTATTCTAACTCTTCAAATAGACTGAGCCTTAAAGCCTGCTTGGAAGTGACTGGAAGATGGCCCTCGATGGAGGTTGATTCAGGGAAATGGTGGTGAAGATAAGGTTTGAAAAGAGAAAAAAAAGTTACTGAGTATTGGAAGAGGGAATCCTGCTCAAGGGGACCTCTGGAGTCTCCTACCATAGGATTAAGGATTGAGCACTAGAGGGGACCTCATAGGCTATTGAGACTAACCCCCTCTATTTCACAGATAAAGAAACTGAGGCCCAGGGAGGTGAACTGACTTAGAAGTTCATAAATTTACAGCTGGAAAGGGCCTCAGAGGCCATCGTGATCCAAGCCCCTCATTTTATAGGCAAAGACACTGAGGACTGGGGACATTAGTTGACTTGCCCAAGGTGAGACAGGTATTAAGTAGCAGAGCAAAGATTTGAACCCACACCTAGAGTTCAGAAGACCTGAGTTCCAATCCAGCTTCAGACACCTACTAGTTGTGTGACCCTGGGCAAGTCACTTCACCCTGTTTGCCTCAGTTTCCTCATCTGTAAAATGACTTAGAGAAGAAAATGGCAAACCACTCTAGTATCTCTGCCAAGAAAACCCCAAATGGGGTCACAAAGAGTCAGACTTGACTGAAAAAACAACTGAACAACAACAATCTTGGACTCCAAAGCCAGCACTCTTTTCGATGTACCTCTCAGGATTGTAGATTTAGAACTTCAAAGAATCTTATTTAGTCCAATCTGTTCCATTTATACATGAAGAAACTGAAGCCTAGAGGGTATAAGTGACTTGCTTAAAGTCACACAGGTAATAAATACAAGAATCAGTATTTGAACCCAGGTTCAACACTCTTTTCACTCTAGTATAGAAACTATGGTATAATTATACATCACTTCTTTTTTTTACCATTTTTTTTTAGTTCCAAATTCTCTCCCTCCACCCATCCCCCACCCATGGAGAAGGCAAGCAATATGATACCCATTATCCATGTGAAGTCATGCAAACCATATTTGCATATTAGCCACGTTACAAAAAAAGGCAAGAAAGATAAAGTGAAAAAACAATATGTTTCAGTCTGAACACAGAGTTCATTAGTTCTCTCTCTGGAGGTGGATAGCATTTTTCATCATGAGTCTTTTGGAGTTGTCTTAATCATTATATTGATCAGAGTAGCTAAGTTTTTCCACAACTGATCATCCTTACATTATTGCCCTGACTTTGTACAATGTTCTCCTGGTTCTGCCCACTTCACTTTGAATCAGTTCATGTGAGTCTTCCCAGGTTTTTCTAAAACCACCACCCTTGTCATTTCTTTTTTTATTCTTCTTCTTTTTTTGTTTGTTTTTATGAATGCAAATCTGTTTATTAATTTATTTATTTTTAGTTTTCAACATTCACTTCCACAAGATTTTGAGTTCCAATTTTTCTCTCCATCTCATTCCTCCCCCCCACCCCAAGATGGCATGCATTCTGAATACCCCTTCGCCTAATCTGCCCTCCCTTCTATCTCTCTCCCTCTTCTCTTACCTCCTTCCCCTTCTATTTTCCTATAGGGCAGGTTAGATTTCTATACTCCATTGCCTGTGTATCTTATGTCCCAGTTGCATGTGAAAACAATTTTTTAACATTTGTTTTTAAAATTTTGGGTTCCAAATTTTCTCCCTTCCTCCCTCCCCACCCACCCTCATTGAGAAGGCAAGCAACTCAGTACAGGTTATACATGTGCAGTCATGCAAAACACTTCCATAGTAGTCATGTTGTGAAAAACTAACTGTATTTCCCTTCATCCTATCCCACCCCCCGTTTATTCTATTCTCTCTTTTGACCGTGTCCCTCCTCAGAAGTGTTTGCTTCTGATTACCCCTCCCCCAATCTGCCTTCCCCCTATCATCCTATCGTCCCCTTTCTCTCTTATTCCTTTCCCCCTTATTTTTCTGTAGGGTAAGATAGATTTCCATACCCAATTGAGTGTGTATGTTATTCCCTCCTTAAGCCAAATCCAATGAGAATAAGATTCACTCATTCCCTCTCACCTTCCCCCACTTGCCCTCCAATGTAAAA